CACGACCAGATGGCTTCACAGGTGAATTCTACCCAACATTTAGAGACGAGCTAACACCTATATTTCTCAAACTCTTCCAAAAACTTGCAGAGGAAGAAGCACTCCCAAACTCATTCTACGAGGCCACCATCAACCTGATACCAAAACCAGACAAACATACTACAGAAAAAGAAAATTACAGACCAATATCACTGATGAACATAGATGCAAAAATCCTCAACAATATACTAGGAAACAGAATCAAACAACACATTAAAAGGATCATACACCATGATCAAGTGGGAGTGGGATTTTTCCAAGGGATACAAGAATTATTCAAAATATGCAAATCAACCAATGTGATATACCATGTTAACAAGTTGAAGAATAAAAACCATATGATCATCTCAATAGATGCAGAAAAAGCTTTTGACAAAATTCAACACCAATTTATGATGAAAAACTCTCTGGAAAGTGGGCATAGAGGGAACCTACCTCAACATAATAAAGGCCATATATAACAAACCCACAGCAAACATCATTCTCAACGGTGAAAAACTGAAAACATTTCCTCTAAGATCAGGAACAAGACAAGGATGACCACTCTTGCCACTATTATTCAACATAGTTTTGGAAGTCCTAGTCAGAGCCATCAGAGAAGAAAAACAAATAAAAGGAATACAAATTTGGCAAGAAGTAAAAGTGTCACTGTTTGCAGGTGACATGATACTATACATAGATAATCCTAAAGATGCCACCAGAAAACTAATAGAGCTAATCAATGAATTTGGTAAAGTAGCAGGATACAAAATTAATGCACAGAAATCTCTTGTATTCCTGCACACTAACAATGAAAGAACAAAAAGAGAAATTAAGGAGCAATTCCATTCACTATTGCAACAAAAAGAATAAAATACCTAGGAATAAACCTACCTAAGAAGGTAAAAGACCTGTGCTCAGAAAACTATAAGACACTGATGAAAGAAATCAACGATGACACAAACAGATGGAGAGATATACCATGTTCTCAGATTGGAAGAATCAATATTGTGAAAATGACTATACTACCCAAAGCAATCTACAGATTCAATGCAATCCCTATCAAATTACCAACGGCAGTTTTCAAAGAACTAGAACAATAAATCTTAAAATTTGTATGGAGACACAAAAGACCCCGAATAGCCAAAGCAATCTTGAGGGAAAAAACGGAGCTGGAGGAATCAGGCTGGCTGACTTCAGACTATACTACAAAGCTAGAGTAATCAAGACAGTATGGTACTGGCACAAAAACATAAATATAGATCAGTGGAACAGGATAGAAAGCCAAGAGATAAACCCACGCACGTGTGGTCAACTAATCTATGACAAAGGAGGCAAGGATATACAATGGAGAAAAGACAGTCTCTTCAATAAGTGGTGCTGGGATAACTGAACAGCAGCTACATGTAAAAGGATGAAATTAGAACACTCCCTAACACCGTACACAAAAATAAACTGAAAATGGTTAAAAGACCTAAATGTAAGACTGGATACTATAAAACTCTTAGAAGAAAACATAGGCAGAGCACTCTTTGACATAAATCACAGCAAGATCTTTTTTGTCCTACCTCGTAGAGTAATGGAAATTAAAACAAAAAATAAACAAATGGGACCTAATGAAACTTAAAAGCTTTTGCACAGTAAAGGAAACTGTAAAGAAGACAAAAAGACAACCCACAGAATGGGAGAAATATCTGCAAATGAATCAATGGACAAAGGATTATTCTCCAAAATATATAAACAACTCATGCAGCTCAATATTAAAAAAAAGAAACAACCCAATCCCAAAATGGGCAGAAGACCTAAATAGACATTTCTGCAAAGAAGACATACTGATGGCCAAGAGGCACATGAAAAGCTGCTCAACATCACTAATTATTAGAGAAATGCAGATCAAGACTACAATGAGCAATCACCGCACACCAGTCAGAATGGCCATCATAAAAAAATCTACAAACAATAAATGCTGGAGAGCGTGTGGAGAAAAGGGAACCCTTGTACACTGTTAATGGGAATGTAAGTTGATACAGCCACTATGGAAAACAGTATGGAGGTTCCTTAAAAAACTAAAAATAGATCTATCATATGACCCAGCAATCCCACTACTGGGTGTTTACCTAGAGAAAACTATAATTCAAAAAGACACATGCACCCCAATGTTCCTGGCAGCACGGTTTACAATAGCCAGGTCATGGAAGCAATGTAAATGCCCATCAACAGATGAATGGATAAAGAAGATGTGGTACAATGGAATATTACTAGTCATAAAAAGCAATGAAATTGGGTCATTTGTAGGGATGTGGATGGACCTAGAGACTGTCAGACAGGGTGAAGTAAGCCAGAAAGAGAAAAACAAATATTGAATATTAACACATATATGTGGAATCTAGAAAATAGTACAGATGAACCAGTTTGCAAGGCAGAAGTAGAGCCATATATGTAGAGAATAAAATGTAAGGACACCAAGGAGGGTGGGTGGGATGAACTGGGAGACTGGGATTGACATATATACACTAATATGTATAAAATAGATAAATAATTAAAACCTGCTGTATAAAAAAATAAAATTCAAAAATTCAAATTAAAAAAAGATGAAGAAATCCTTTAAAATAAATAAATAAAGCAATAGTTGCCCAATATTAATGTGAGTAAGAGCTTGTAAAAACATGGATTTTGCATCTGTGAACCTGCATTTTAATGAAGCACCACAGATAATTTTATATAGGTTCATTTTGGACAATACTGACATAATGATTTCTAGGAATAATTTACATGTAGTGCTATAAGTGGTGTTCAATTTCAAATGAAAAGCTTTTTGGATTTTGCAATAAAATAAATCTGTTAAGGAAAGAATGTTTGTATCCCCCCCGAATTCATATGTTGAAGCACTAACCTCCAACACGATGGTATTAAATGGTAGGGTCTTTGGAAGGTAATTAGCTCTATATGAAGTCATAAGGATGGAGCCCCCATGATAGGATTAATGCTCTTCTAGAAATTGGACAGGCACAGAGCTTCCACAGTGTGAGGACACACTGTGAGAATTTGGTTATCTGTAAGCCAGGAAGATGGTCATCACCAGAACCCAACCATACTGGCACCATGATCTCAGACTTTCAGCCTCAAGAAGTGTGAGAAATTAAATTCATGTTTTTTAAGTCTCCTAGGATGTAGTATTTTGTTATGACAACAAACTGAATAATACAAACCCAAATCATCCCAAGCATTTATTTGACTTAAAACATGCCCTCACAATGAGATATTACTTCACACTTGTCCCAACAGCTAATCATCAAAAAGTCTACAAACAACAAATGTTGGTGAGGATGTGGAGAAAAGGGAACCCTCTTACACTGTTGGTGGGAATGTAAACTGGTGCAGCCACTATGGAAAACAGTATGGAGGTCCACAAAAAACTAAAAATGGAAGTACCATATGATCCAGCAATTCAACTGCTGGATATATATCTGAAGAAAAAAAAATACTAATTCAAAAAGATACATGCATCCCAAAGTTCATGACAGCATTATTTACAATAGTTAAGATATGAAAGCAAAATAAGTGTCCATCAACTGATGAGTGGATAAAGAAGATGTGGTGTATGTATAAAATGGAATACTACTCAGTCATGAAAACAGTCATTTGCAACAATGTTAATGGACCTAGAGGGTATTATGCTTAGTAAAATAAATCAGACAGAGAGAGACAAATACTGTATGTTGACACTTATATGTGGACTCTAAAAAATAAAACAAATGAATATGTATAAAAGAAAATAGAAACGTATTCACAGATATAGATAAACTAGTAGATACCAGTGGGGAGAAGGAAGGAGGGAGGGGAAAGATAAAGGTATGGATTTAAGAGCTACAAACTACTACATATAAAGTAAATGTGCATCAAGGATATATTGTACAGCACAGGAAAATATAGCTATTATTTTGTAATAACTTTAAATGGAGTATAATCTATAAAATATTGAATCTCTATGTTGTACACCTGAAATTAATGTAATCATCTATACTTAAATAAAAAATAATAAAAAAGGATGTGACAATATATAAAACATGAAATACTTATGACAGAATAATATAAAATGTATACTCATTTCTGACATATTAATTTGGTTTATCTGTCTCCATATCTTTACTGCATGGTTTTTTTTCTTTTTTTTTTTTGCGGTACGCGGGCCTCTCACTTCTGTGGTCTCTCCCATTGTGGAGCACAGGCTCTGGACGCACAGGCCCAGCGGCCACAGCTCACGGGCCTAGCCGCTGCACGGCATGTGGGATCTTCCTGGACCGTGGCAGTAACCCATGTCCCCTGCATCGGCAGGCAGACTCTCAACCACTGCGCCACCAGGGAAGCCCTACCCTAAGATTTTATCACAAATTGCTAATGAAAATAAAGCTGTTAGTGGAGTTTCAACATGCATAGGTAAATGAGAACACAGAACTCCCCTTTCGCATGCCCCATTCTCCTCCTTCTAACTCCCTATGTGAACTCACTTTGTGCCAAGACCAAGAAGCTGTGCCCCAATAAGAACCAAGCTGATTTCCTCACACTGACTGGGGCTATTGCTCACTTAGAAGACTTGATGCTTAATTTTGATAAGCAACTAGAAGACCATGGAGACAACGTATAAAAATGATTTGTCTTGGGAGAAAATACTAAAGAGGGTTAATGTGCCGTTCCACATGTCTAGCCTCCTGGGATTAAACCACAGACACCAAGATCACCAAGTGTACTTGGCAACAATGCGCTAAAAATGAAAAAAAAGAAGCATCATACTGTTATTGTATTCATTTTCCCCCAAGGCACTCTCTGAGAAACACCACACCCTCTAAGGGAATTGAGAACAGCTTCCTTGTGGGGTAGGTTATATAATATATATGCATCTTTTTCCAAGCAGTTAAATCATATCCAGCTATCAGCACACCTTACTTAAGATGATTGTAATGTATGAGATTAAATGTTCCTACGTGATTGGAAACCTTCTTGTCCTCAATTCATTGGCTATACTGGAGTTTTTTTCTTGGGTCAGACCTTCAGACTTCTACCAGAAATCATTCCTTTGGGGAAACCAGGCCTTCCCAGAAACTCAGGAAACTGAAATGGTGACAAGCAAGAGAGAAGGAAATTATTTGGACATATAGACCTCAATTGTTTGGTTTTAAGTAAATGTCCAAGCAAACATCTTCTAAATGGTATAATAACTTTAGGGAAATTCACGGTTTATAAGTTTGTGTGCTCATAAACTGAACATATTATGATAAGAGTACAGGTTGCATTTTGTG